CTTGCGATTAGCAGCCCAGTGCAGAACTACCAGTCAGTGGGTGATGAACTGCCTCTGTTACTCCCTCTCAATTGCTTTAAAACAGTTGCCATTTATTGCACTCAAGATAAAGGCCCAAGTTCTCCAAGCAGTGGACACAGAGAGCCAGCACGTATGTGCTGTAGGTTGGTCCTCAGGAAACAGATGCTGAGGTTCAGTAGAAGGACACTTGTTGGGTCGTGCTCTGGAGGTCAGCGGCTGGAAATAAGGAAAGGAAGGGGTAGAGGGCAGAAGACGTACTCGAGCTCGAGGCCCAGTGATAGCCTTGGTGACCGCCATAGGGAGCGCTATTGTTTACATGTCTGTCAGGCTGGGCTGAAATGTCGCGGTTTCAGCTAGTCCTTGGACGAGGGCTACTTCAGGAAGAGAAGGATTTGGGTGGTGGGCTTGAGGCAGCCCTCTGCAGTTGAGCAATCCGTGGAAAACTGCTGAAGGCTGTCCATGGACAACCCTCCCAGCAGCGGGAACTGCCAATCCATCCTCGAAGTGAGATTGAGGAGGGGTGCCCCAATCTGGTAAAACACACGAAAAATCAAGTCTGACTCACAGAAAGACATTTCAGGAAACAGCAGAGCAAGTCTAACCCAGGACGGAGGTTGGTATTTAGGGGAGGAAGGAAGGAAGCCCGTGGTTGTCGAGGGCAAGTTGACCATGCACAGACAGACCAGACCGTGAGGGCCATGGGGCCTCAGTGCAATGGGGAGCATCTGTGCTTTTCTTTTCTCATAGTGAACATGAAACAATCTTTTTGTGGTAAATATATAAATATACGTAGCCAAGTATTTGCCATTTCAACATTCTCACGTGTAATTCAGTGATACTATGTTTGTCATGTTCAACCATCACTTTTATCTGTTCCCAAATTTCTCTGTCACTCTCTCACAAAAGCTCGGTTCTTAAGTACTAAATCCTTTTTTTGCCCTTCCTCCAATTCTCATCAGATACCACTAATAAACTTTGGTTTCTTTTTTTTAATAATTTTATTGGGAGCTCATACAGCTCTTATCACAATCCATACATAAATCCATATGTCAAGCACATTTGTACAATCGTTGCCCTCATCATTCTCAAAACATTTGCTCTCCACTTAAGCCCTTGACATCAGCTCCTCGTTTTTCCCTTCCCTCCCTGCTCCCCC